AGACACTTATGGTGTCACCTTGAAGTAATCTTCACCCAGTGGTTTGAAAATGGATAAAGATGATGTCAATCCTGAAGTTCTTCAGTACATTGTATATAGGGTGTGTGGTACAACAGACTGTTATGGAGAGTTTAACTTGCTTCACTATCACATTATATTCAATGACACAGTCTGGTGTTATCCCACAAATGACAAATGCACATGTTTTTGTATGTTTAGGATTTCATTTTGTGGGGCCCCAGCAACAATATGCAAGGTCTGCCTTCGAAATTCATGTGCACTTTTATAACTGTGAACCTGTATTTGAACTCAATTTCCAAACCGTAACTTCCAAAACTATTAAATCCATCCAAAGCTCTGAACAGTAAGAATCCCCAGGGTAGTAAATTCCAAGATTATGGAATTAATGGAGCCTCTGTTAAGCATAATAACACTGCACTGAAATAACACTTTTGAGCTAACTGTTGCGAACAAAACCAATTATTGAAACGGTATGTCAGTAATTTAGATAAAATTACAGGAAGCTGCGACAATTTCTATTATACAGAAAACCAGACCTCTGCGAGGGCCAAGGTTCCTATGCAGGCATTCGTGAAATATTACATTACTGTATTTGCGATGATGTAAACATGGCAACAAACGAAACCAGGGAGACCTCAAGTGTTACTGACTTGTCCGGTGGGCGGCCCTACATTAACCATGGGTCGGAGCTAACAATAGTTTCACTATACTGTACTGTACAGTAGTCTAGCTTCCGATAGAAGCTGCAAAAGGATTATCCTGTCAAGCATCAAGTTTGTTTTTATCAAACCACAATTCAACCACAACACAATTCTATGCTGTGAACCTTATCCAAACCACAGTATAAAACTGAAGTTTTTGGAGTTTGGATAAAGTTTCCTGTCCATAATACTCAGGAAAGTAGAGTCCAATCCATCACATTTAAGGCAGTTGGAAAATGAAAGTAAACAATATTCCATAAATGTTTTCCTCTTATTATACAGTTTACTAGTCTTTTAAAGGGTAGAGTGTATCGTCTTTCATTAGTTATGACTATAATATATGTCAAAATAGAAAATTATTAAATAGGGCATGTCATATCCAGTTTTGCTTTGGTACGGATGTTCATAATGAACAGATATCTGGAAAGTCGCTTTGCCTATTTACCAAAAACAGCGTAACATACATGTCACATACATACATACAGTACATACATACGAAGGGTATCCTAAAGGTTCCTTTGCTTGAAAGCGTAGGAACCAAAAACTTTTGGGTGCACTGTATCTATTGTTATACAAAATAAAATCATATCTACATCTCTTCAAATATAAACCAAATAAAAATAGAAAATTAAAAATAAACAAAATCCAAAGGTCCAAAGGTGATCTTGAGGTGCACAAAACCAAATAAACTATTGTAAATGTAATAGAATTTTCCAGTTGACCTAAATTATTTTGTCAATAGAAATAGGACAACACCACTAATCAAATAGGATTTCTGTAATGCAAAAATACTGCCAATAGGAGAGGCACAAACCAATTTATATTATCAAAATAAAAATACAGTTCATCCTCAGGGTTTGGTCTCCAAGTCGTGTTAAGCTTAAAGATTGTTATTCAGTCCTTTGAAAAAGTGGTTACGAATTGTCAGAAACAAGAGGAGCTCTTGCGGTGTACCTCTCAAACAACAAATGCACCAAACCAGACTTTCTTGGTATGTCTCATTTTCGAATATGACGTGGCAATATGAGATTCATCCTATTTAGAAATCTATATTGAAAAAAAAGACATTGCGTTTTATTTGACACTATTCAGTACATTATAAACCAACAGTTTTATACGGTTACTAAGGTTGAAACAAGTCATGGTATAATTTTAACAATCTAACAATCTGTAAAATAAGGACCTTTCTTAAGCAACACACCAGTGTTGCGCTATTATTTGTGTCAGAGCATATAGTAACCACAGTGTTAACGTCACGATACCACATGATACTACTCCGTTGCTATTGGCGACACAAAATGCGTTCAACCGGACCCATTGCCTCCACTGACAAACCATTGACCACAATATTTCTAACATAATTATTAAGATGTTGTGTCTTAATTTTCTTTATATCGAAATAACTTGTATTCATCACGTGAAGCAATGGTAGGTGGCGCTGAATGAGGATGGTATAATTTCAATGTGTACAAAATGGTTAATCTCATTATTAAATAAGTTAAAATGTATTTTTTTCAATAATTAAAGATGTGTATAAGAGACAGCTGTGAACCTGTATTTGAACTCAATTTCCAAACCGTAACTTCCAAAACTATTAAATCCATCCAAAGCTCTGAACAGCAAGTTTACAATGGCGGGTTTTCTAGGGGCGAGTTGACTGCCAAAGAGTGTTGCCAAAGTGCGAGCCAGCGTGTTATTTGATCACAAGTGCGAGACATCGCAAGTGTGAGCCAGCGAGCCATGACGTAACGACAATAGATACGAGACGTTACTCGAGTTGTGCGAGGTATCGGCTGAGATTTGTGGAGTACAATTCAAAAAACAACTATAGGTCTAATAATGAATTATTGTGATGTTAAATAGACAATAGACAATGTTAGCTATAAACAATGTTAGCTATCAAGGAGCGACGCTGTTTTTCATTTGGACCTTCGTCCCTTCAAGGCTAGGCCTATACCATCCTAGCTAGTCTAGGCCTAGAGTAGGATGGCTAGCACAACATGCAGGCGTTGGTACGTGTTGGTTAGTCTGCAAACGTCGCCTAAAGTAATTGATTTTACCCGGCAGAACGTAAGAAGGAAACTCCGCTTTTCAGTCGTCTCAGGCCCTTGTTTTTTGACAAACAATGATCTTTCAGAGGTCAAATTGCTGTCAAGAATATAAATTGGCTGCTTTGCAGCAAAAAGTATGATTTTAGTTTTGAAAAAGGCAACATTTATGGCAGTTTTTGTTTGAAGAGGGAGTTTTGTTCCATAACACAGGAGCTGCACATGAAAGTGATTGTCTGCCATATGTATGTGCTTTCCACATGTGAACATGAAGTAGATGTTGTTTAGAAGATCTCTGGTTACAAGAAGTCGTTTGGAGCTGAATGATAATGTATTGAGGCGCAAGGCCATGCAGAGCTTTATACATAATTAAAAGGATTTTATTGGAAGCGAAATGATACAGGAAACCAATGAATTTCTCTGAGAATAAAAGTGATGTGCTGTGAAGTCAGTTTGGGTGATGAGCCTAGCTGTGGTGTTCTGTGCAAGTTCAAATATGTAGAGTTACTTTTCTGGAAGACCGAACAGAAGAGCTTTGCAGTAGTCACGTCTGGCAGAAACAATGCCAATAATCTCAACATGCTATCAGCGAAAAGCATAGCAAAATGCCAGTATCAACATGCAATCACTGGTGTATGATAATCCTAATAGACCCCAGATTAGCGTAGACCACTAAGTTGTGATAGTCATGCATCAATTATTTTAAACACAACCACTGGCCAGAATTTGATCAATCACAAACAGCCTAGATGTAAACAGGAAGAGAAATGCGCGATTACCAATTTTTGTATTTCGCACGAATACTTACTTACAACACTGTTCCCTGCTTACAATAGCGTTAAATTGAATTGATGTACTCCAAGCGTTAGATAAGAGTGGCATCTCTGATGTCTGAATGTAGCCTTAATAGTAGGCTTACCTCATGTTCTTGGCTACCATCAGTGCAGAAACAACGTTTATATTTGTTTTGCACTCCTCCACTGTACAGTTTCATCATTATGTTTGTTATACATGACTTGTCTTTTTTCATGTATATTTTCATTACTTTTCAAAGAAAGAAAAGTGTATGATTATTATAAGTTGACAGTTTAAAAATGTTAACTTGTGAAAGCTATCTCTTTGGTTATCAATTCATTTAAACAAACTTACTGTATAAAATTACCTCATGAGTCTTGTTTTGCCTCAGAGTGCTGTTTTGTTAGCTCCTCTGACAAATGAGGCATGTCGTGGCGAAATGGTTAAGTTGTCGCACAGGCCAGTATTGAGTAAATGAGCTATAAAATATGGGAGCTCAAAAAATTGCCTAAAAATCCAAATTTTTTTACACTATAGATCAACAGTTTAATGTCTTATTAATCATGTCCCAAAGTATTAGTTCTGGAAGTGGTCAACAAATTGTTTATTTAATGTTATTTAGATAGTTAATTCTATTAAACAATGTATGCACAAATAATTAACTTTGGAAGGCAATTAATACTCAAAATCATGTTTATCTTGACTCTAAGAGTGCCGTATTTTCACTTTCCAATAACTCAATGAATGACCCCTCATTTTAAAGATAACATACTCAGGTATATGAAAATACCAATAACTTGAATTTCAAATTTTGCTACAACTTAGCCATTTTGCCACAACATGCCTCAAATGTTGACTTGCATTGACGACTGTCTTGTCATGGAGGAATTAGTTTGGTCTTGTGCAGTAGGTGCTGCGAGGATTGTATTGTGGTTATTCCTAGCATTTGGATTATTTGTTGTCTGCTCAAAATCTGTGTCTTCTCTTTCTGTTTTATTGTCTTTAGGTTTGTACTAATCTATCAAATGTTATCAAGAAGTTTTTAGACTAATGGAAAATGCCAACAAAACTAGGCTTAGAAAAGTGTATAATTATTATAAACAGACAGTTAAAAAATGTTAACTTGTGAAAGCTATCTCTTTGGTTATCAATTAATTTAAGCAAACTTACTGTATTAAATTACGTCTTCATGAGTCTTGTTTCGCTTCAGAGTGCTGTTTTTGTTACAGTAGCTCCTCTGACAAATGTTGACTTGCATTGACAACTCTGTCTTGTCATGGAGGAATCAGTTTTGTCTTGTGCAGTAGATGGTGCTGCGAGGATTGTATTGTGGTTATTCCCAGCATCTAGATCATTTGTGTCTGCTCAAAAGCTGTGTCTTCTCTTTCTGTTAATTGTCTTTAGTTTTGTACTAATCTATCAAATGTTATCAAGAAGTTTTCAGACTAATGGAAAATGCCAATAAAACTAGGCCTATTGGTATATTACCCAATTAATAATAAATATATCATATGTCAATTCTTTCAAGTTTGCCACCATGTTTTAGAAATGACTGTGTATCTAGTCTTCTAGTAATGGCTGTTTATAGGCAACAGATAGGCACTGTAACAATACAGTTAACAAATTGTTTGTAGGTCTACCAATGAGATAATGTAGAACAGAAAGAATATGAACAAAATAATAAATTCATTTTTTAATCTTTTATTCTCTAGGGCCTAGGCCTAGAAAGATGTGGTAGGCCTAGTTTTAAACATTCTCACATCATCTGTGCAGTTCTTCTGTGTGTTGATTCGGTCCTACTAAATACCACACGGACCACACGGAACCACACAACACCACACGAATGCAAAATGATTAAAATATTACCACACGAGAGTAGAAAATGACTTGATAATCAATAAAAACCAATTTTTATAGTTATACAGTAGCTCTCCGAATTATGGTAAAAATTTACTATTTTTAACAGGTTTTTGCCGCCGTGCTTCAGAAGGTAATGTGTTGACATTGAGTATCTCTAACGCATTGATGTTTGCAGAAACGCATTCAACTATAACCTCTTAAATAGGCTTGCTACACTCATTACGTATGTCATTTCATCGAGACTATTATTTTAAAAATTCAAGGCACATCACATAAAATCTAATGAACTTCAAAATTGTAAATAAGAAAAATGGAAAAATAGAATTAATTTTGTTGTTAAAATTACTAACTTTATTATGTTATAAGTAGGCCTAACATACAAACTTGTACTATTTATTATTGTTATCAAATAATTATTATACTGTAATGTAATAGGCCTTATCTATTTAAATTATGAGGCTAAATTACAAAATTGGGAAATTAAAAAAATTTATACAGTTCTTACAAAATAGGATTGAAATAAAGGAGGGTGGGTCTCACACGGAAGAGAAAAATTGTCAGTTCAGAATTCATTCCGTAATAGTTGTTAGATGTTTGCTTCCTGAACTACTGTAGGGCTAACAGTGCAGTATTGTATTTATAGTTTATTTCATATACATCAGCCCAGTACTACATAAACCATTACTGTTATTTTATCAAGATACACCCTTTGTGTTTTGCTAATTAATATGTCAAACCAAGGCGGTATAAAGGGTCAAACTATGCAAGATATCACAATAAAGAAGGTGGCAGGGACGATTAAAATTTTTGAGAAGAAATAAATATATTTTTCATTTCTCAAAAGACGTCAACTCTTGTTTTCTGTCACTTTGTGATTAATCTCGCTAAAAATATGCCTAAAAATCAGCAACAGCAACACCATGAAGCAACGATGGTAAGCGTACTGTTTAAAAAAAAAATTAACCTTCTATAAACTGATCTCTTGCGTACTTTTATGAAATAACAAATGGTTTATATAGCTGTACTGATGCATGCTAATTAGCAGAGGTTACTTATAAAATATTCCGTATATGGTAAAATTTAGGCCAACATATTAGCTCAGGACATAGTAACTTAATAATAATAATAATGAAGGGAGTATATATTTGATGAAAAATGAATTTTAAAAAAAATATAATTGTCCTACTCTGGTAACCCCAATGGAAACTTCGAAAATTCTGTTATTTATCACTTCTAATCATATATTTTATAAATATTAATCTTCATTCTTTGTATGTACACTGAAATTAAAAAAAACATGAGCATTGAAAGAAATAAAAAAATAGAATAAATTATCTAACAATACATTAATACAAATACCACAATTTAAATACTCAGTTTGTTTTAATGTACAGCAGAATAAGTTTATTATCGTTCATGTGGTACTGTAGTACATATTTTGAGTGATGCTATGAAACAAAGACACGAAGGTCATGGTTGAATGCGTTTCTGCTGACACATCAATGCGTTATAGATCCAAAATGTCAACGCACCGAGACACGTCGGGCAAAACCAACGAAGCAAAAAACATACATCGATTTTAACAGAATTTGGACAATTATCGTTCTAAAAGTTGGTTTCTATTGATTAAGCAGTTTTCCACTCTCGCTCGTGTGGTAATATATTTTTGCATCTGTGTGGTTACGAGTGGTGGAGTGTGGTATTTAGTATTAAAGACCACTACCATACCATTACTTATCATCATTTCATCACCTGACTAGTGTCTAGGCCTCTAGCTAGGTAGGCCTGGCTAGGCTAGGTAGGCAGCTAGGCATCATGCCTATCATCAGTAGTAGTAGTAGTAGTAATTACCTCTCTCTAGGGGCCTAGGCCTATTCAGTATTCTACCCTTCTATTTTAGTATTGCTTTTTACCTTGTGGTTAGGCAAATCAATCATTAGTTTGAGGCCAGGCTGCTTGATTCTTCCAGATCAACCAAAGAATAGGCCTAGGCCTACTGTATACATTTTCTATGCTTTTTACTTTGCATCAACGTATGGTACCATGGCACCACAGAAGAATAATAGGGTGCCGGGGGGGGGGGGGCGGGGGGGGCGATTTTTTTTCCAAACGGGAAGCCCGCCCTCATCAGCAAATTAATACCCAATATTTCAACCAATCAAATTTCCTTGTAGGATCTGTAGCGTTTAGTTTTAACAGAAAACCAGTACAAATTGTACCGTATTTGTAACCCACGCTACAGTAACCCACCTTAAAAGTTAATCTATATTATAAGTCATTACTTTCATATACACCGAATTTTCCTATCCACGATCCTGATCACTAATTCGACATAGTGCCGATTATTTGTGTCTCGAGTGCAAAGCTGGTGTGATTTCTAGGCCGGATCCAGTAGGCAGCGAAGTGGCCGCTCGCTTGTAATAATAATATTAATAATAAAATATAAAATGAGAAAAGTTTACCTGACCGTCTTCAAGAGGGTAAAACCTAGAATTTGAAGAACTTAAAAAGTCATTTAAAAGACGAAGTCAGGAAAGCTTATTTTCCGCATTCTAGAAATCGAAATTTTTCCGGGGGAACCCGGACCCCCCTTTTCTTTGGGGTTCATTGATTCATTGAATTTTCAAGAGGGGAAAACCTTGAATTTTGAAGAACTTAAAAAGTAATTAAGACACATAAGAAGTCGAAAGAGCTCATTTCCCGCCATTTAGGAATCAAAATCTTCCCGGGGGATAACCCCGGACCCCTCTTTTCTTTGAAGCTTATCGATTCATTGAAAAAAAGAATATGTATGCAACTAGTAATTTTTTTTAAATGTATGTATACACACATAACCGGCCAATTTACTGTAAGAATGAGAAAGTTTACCTGACCGTTTTCAAGAGGGGAAAACCTTGAATTTTGAAGAACAAAGTCATTAGACACCTAGCAAAAAGATACTTCAGAAGTCGGGAAAGCTCATTTCCCACCATTTAATCAACATTTTCCCAGGAAGAACCCGAACCTCCCTTTTCTCTTTGGGTTTATTGATTCATTATACTAATTTTCAAGAGGGGAAAACCTTGAATTTTGAAGAACTTAAAAGTCATTATAAGACACCTCAGAAGTCGGAAAAGCTCATTTCCCGCCATTTAGAAATCAAAATCTTCCCGGGAAAGAACCCCGGACCCCACTTTTCTTTGGAGATTATCGATTCATGGACAAAAGAATACGTACGCAACTACTCATTTTCTGTTATGTATGTATCACACATAAGGCCTATTCCTGTAATAACAATGGGAAAAAATTACCTGACCGTTTTCAAGGGGGGAAAACCTTTAATTTTGAAGAACAAAGTCATTAGATACTTAGCTCAAAAATCGAGGAAGGTCATTTCTCGCCATCTACAAATCAAAATTTTCCAGGGGGAGGACACCGGATCCCCTTTCGTTTTTGGGGAAAATGCGACCCCCACCCCCTAGGTTTAATTCCAGATCTGCATGATTCATATTCCCATTTATCGTAAGTGCCCCCCCCCCCCCGCCCCTTTGAAAAACGTTCCGCCGGCCCTGCTTCTGGTATCGTGAACTTAGAGTAAGATAGGACTATCCAGTGCAATAGGTAAATTTTGGTTTTCTGTATTATACTTCATTATAAAAGTCTTTTTAACTAATCAGTTACATTTCAATAATAGCCTGTCATATCTGTCTATCCTACATACTTTTAACCCTCACTTTAAAGTAAAATTGCCAAATAATTTCTTTTTCATAAGCTGGTATAAATATATTATTACTGCACTTTCTGTGTAAATTGCATTCAGTGAATCAATATATTCAATAGAATAAAACACTAGATTAAAATGTTTACTGATTTCTACTTTATTTGGAATCTAAACCAATTGCAATGTAAGAATGTATAGCATACAAACTATTAGTATAATATACGGTAATGTTTACTCCCCAAGCAAGGGTATCTCACACTTTAAATTACTTTGAATTGAACCACCGCCATTATAACATGAAACATTTGAAACAATATATTCAATTATTGAACTTTAATGTATAATGCAAGGTGGTTATATTAATGAAAATGATTAAGTTATTAAATGACAACTAAGCAAGTATTCTATCACAATGATTTTAAAACCACAATATCTAAGTTATAATTATTACTGAGAAAGTCTTGACTTCCATATTCTGTCCAAATAAGTCTCCTATACGTCATTTTATTTGGTCAACACGCAGGCGAAACTTCGCCTTTCATGCGGTTTTTATTTTTGTTACACACTATAGGCCTACAGATATAAAATTAATGTGCATGGCTATCTCATACATTAGTAGTGTACTGCGTTAGGCCCTATAACAAACAACCAAAAATATTCTTTGTATACAGCAGTTATTTGTGTGATAATAATATTAATAACAATCATCATACAATACTATCGTAATCATTTCTAAGGAGGTCACAGGGCAATCAAAATTGAAAAATTTACAAACCCCGTCTTACTCCATATAGACCTATATAAATTGTAAATTCACATTGTTTGCAAATGTTATATGCTGTGAATAAAAATGTTATTAGAAATTATTGTTTTTAAGATATAAATAGCATTTTTAAACTATACAGTTAGTTTCAAAATCAAACAAAAAAAAATCAATTCTAAAGCAATAAACATGCATGTAATCAAACAAACAAAAACCTAACACAAATTAATAGAAACAAAATATCAAATTACAGTCCATGTAGGCCGTACAGAGAATTCAAACTTTGTATTACATAATTCTCTCAATGTAATCATTCGTTATCAAACACTATTATTACATAGGCCTATAGTTAAACTTTAAGCAATAAGGAAATTTAAAACAAATACAGCATTGGCATGTATATAAGGTTATACATTCTATACAGGACTGTTACTACGATACGGTACAACCTTAATCCCTATAAATGTGATAAAACCAAGTTTAGCAAAAGCTTCCTACAACAGTATTGACTACTGATGTTTTTTGGAATATTCCTGATGAATCTAAATATCATCAATTAGGTTAGTTGGTGGTGAAGCCTTGTCGATGCAATAGGCGTCCACGTATTGTACGTTGCTATGGTTTCAACTTATATAATTTTGAATAGTCAATTTATGGATTAATTCACCATCATTCTTCTTTCTTTATTATAACATAAACCTATTCATACCAATATTTGTTTTGTTTAAAGTGAAAGCGCTGATTTTACTACCAAAACACAATGAAAAAGTAAGTACTGTAATAGTAATGAACATTAATTATTTGAATTTCCATAATAATAATAACAAATTATTAAAATGTTGTATATTGTCTATTGAAAATATATAAATCTAGATATATATAAGTTAAAGCATTCGGGTGAAGGAGTGAATAAAAATATTCGAATGTTTTTATCAACAGAAATTTAAAGAAAGATAATTGTTAATTTTTGTATTCAGAAGCTCATATTCCTTGCACATTATAAGGCTTCTCTTGCGCTTTTATTTCTGCTCATTCAAAGTTTTATTTGAAGGAACAAAATTAGTAAACAGCTATTACCTTTAAACGAAGAAAAATTGTCTATTCATCTAAACAACACAATGTTCTGCCCACCTATTTAACCCCAATCTATTCTATTAAGAGTTAAATAATAATCAATGAGTATTGCAAATAGAATTTATGAATAGTATCGGATATTTCATTGTATAAATTTTAGCTTTAGGTATATTTAATTTGTTGATTTGAAAGAAAAGACAACATAATTTGTTTGCATTAAATTTCAGAGGGATTAAATAGATACAAATTTTGTGTGTATTGTATGTATACTAAAACTACTGTACACTGGTCATATGTTAACATGGACATTGAAA